AACCCAGAATCGGAGGGTCTGCGGTAGTGGTGCTCGGCGAGTGGATGCATCCTAGAAGCAGCGTCAGTATCCCTCGAATTTGTACACTTCTACCCAACGGTCCTAACGACGTAGGCTTTAGATAGATCCATCCTCGCAGCATTCCTTAACATCTCAAAAAAAGTCTTGAAGTTGCTGAGAAGACTTCTTCACTTAGAAATTTGGAAGAGAACAGTATATCAACGGAAAAGTTAATCAAGAGTCTTACATTAGGACGTACACAGGAATCATCCTTTTCGATATGCCCTTAGGAAAACTAGTGGGTAACGAGCGTTGTGTGGATTATAGAATACTCCCAATGAAGTATGCAATTCCGGTCTGGCATAATAATGCATATAGCCTGGAGGAACTGGTATAGTCATTTAGCAAAAATGATAGACAACAGATGGATAAAGTGGATTAATGAAAGGTAGCCATAATGGTATTAAAAAATACTTGGAAAACCGTCAGTGCAAATGGAAAAAAAAACCACTGGACTTTTATGTAAAATGATGTAGGACTTAAAAATAGAAGAAAGAATGCTTAAGTGCACCAAAGATGGAGAGGAAGGCGTCGGCAAAAAACATCTGCTTAAAGTATTACAAAGAAATGATGTGCATATAAAGCTGATAAATATCAAAAAAAAAAATGCCAAAAAATTATCAAAAAAGAAGCTTGATAAGTTTTTTTTTCTTCTTCTTGATAAGTAACAAAAAAAAAAGTATCCCTGGACAAGTGGTCAAGCCGCTCCTCGTAAAATCATAAAGTTTGCAGCAATATTTCATATGAAATTTGCGATATTTTAAATCCAAAAATGAACTATAAGATGTACCCAGTCGCCAGTTTTGGCCATTCGCATAGCAAGAAGCAGGCAGGCGGAGGCCATGATAGTCTCCGGGACGCTGATAAATTCGTAGAAGATCAGCGATGTTTCCAGGATAAAACGGGCCAGTGTCAGTGTTGGCATATCTTTTTCGGCAACTCGTGCAAATCGTCGCAAAAATCGGTACGAAAGCGGGAAATTGAGATCACCATTGAAGGCCTTAATCAATTTCTGCTCGTAGCCGTATACTACTCCATAATCGGAACGTTTTATGCATCGGAAAAATTCTACCGAAAGAGAATCTTGCTGCTGAAAATTAATTAAAAAATGCATGAAGATCT